GCCGAAATAATATATGACAAAAGATTAATATCGTATTTTCTTTAGACAGATACTGAAAGGCCGAAACGTTGTAATAAATATGACGACAAAGATGAGGGAATAAGTAAATAATGTACATAATGCCTCTCAGAAATACAGATGCTGAAGGCCGAAAACGTTTAATAAATATGGCGACAAAGATGAGACAGGGTGAAAATTAAATAGTGGAGATTTAGTTGTTTTATCTCATGGAAACGTTTACTTGGCGACAAAGATGAGGAAATAGTGGAAAATGTAAATTGGACATAATACCTTTGAAATCGGAATGAAAAAATTGAAATGGCGACAAAGATGGACAATAGTCCAGAAAAATACATAATACTTCATCTCAGAAATATAGACTAGATACTGAAAGGCCGAAACGTTGCAATAAAATATGGCGACAAAAGATGAGGACAATAGTCTGAATAATGTAAATAATATTACATAATACCTCATCTCAGAAATATAGACATATACTGAAAGGCCGAAACGTTGTAATAAATATGGCAACAAAGATGAGGACAATAGTCCGAATAATGTAAATATGTATATAATATCTCATCTCAGAAATATAGACATATACTGAAAGGCCAGAAACGTTGTAATAAATATGGCGACAAAAAGATGAGGGCAATAGTCGAATAATGTAAAATAATGTACATAATACCTCATCTCAGAAATATAGACATATACTGAAAGGCCGAAACGTTGTAATAATAATATGACGACAAAGATAATGTAAATACGTACATAATACCTCATCAGAAATATAGATATGAAAGGTTGTTAATAAATATGGCGACAAAGATGAGGACAATAGTCCGAATAATGTAAATAATGTACATAATCTCATCTCAAAAATAGACATATACTGAAAGGCCGAAACGTTTAAAAAAATGGCGACAAAGATGAGGACAATAGTCGAATAATGTAAATAATGTACATAATACCTCATCTCAGAATATAGACAGATACTGAAAGGCCGAAACGTTGTAATAAATATGGCGACAAAGATGGGGACAATAGTCCGAATAATGTAAATAATGTACATAATACCTCATCTCAGAAATATAGGCATATACTGAAAGCCCGAAACGTTGTAATAAATATGACGACAAAGATGAGGACAATAGTCCGAATAATGTAAATAGTGTACATAATACCTCATCTCAGAAATATAGATAGACTACTGAAGGCCGAAACGTTGTAATAAATATGGCGACAAAAGATGAGGACAATAGTCAGAAAATGTAAATAGTGTACATAATAACTCATCTCAGAAATATAGACAGATGCTGAAAGGCCGAAACGTTGTAATAAATATGGCGACAAAGATGAGGATAATAGTCAGAAAATGTAAATAGTGGACATAATACCTTATCTCAGAAATATAGACAGATACTGAAAGGCCGAAACGTTGTAATAAATATGGCGACAAAGATGAGGACAATAGTCCGAATAATGTAAATAATGTACATAATACCTCATCTCAGAAATATAGACAGATACTGAAAGGCCGAAACGTTGTAATAAATATGACAAAGATGAGGACAATAGTCCGAATAATGTAAATAATGTACATAATACCTCATCTCAGAAATATAGACATATACTGAAAGGCCGAAACGTTGTAATAAATATGGCGACAAAGATGAGGACAATAGTCAGAAAATGTAAATAGTGGACATAATACCTCATCTCAGAAATATAGCCAGACTTGTTGTTTGTAGTATAATATCTGTTCCTACTATGTGGTGTTACTTCTAAAAATCCCAGAGATTGTTTTTCTGGAATTCACCGTAAATACTTTTTGTACTACAGGTGTCCAATATTATTAATAAGTGATGGGGGATTTAAACTTAATCCCAGTAAGATTAATGCAGATTAGTTGAGTTATCGATTTATTGATTGTGGGTAATACCAGAGAACCCAATGGAATATATATATATATATATATATATATATATATATATATATATATATATATATATATATATATATATATTACCTGGTACAGGGAGATAACCATTGCCAATCAAGGTTTTACTGAGGGGTGGTCAACGTCCCTGTGCTGTAAGTGGGCTCTGATTCTCCTTATTTTGAGGATATTAGTTGATCAGCCCTGGTGATTCCAACCCTGCGGCAGTATCTCCCTCATCGCACTAAAGAGGTTGGGTCGGTGTAATAGATATTCCAGCGTGACAGTGGTCGCGGGGGACTGGGCAAAAATCAATTTTTGCCCTATGATTAAGTAAGCGTATAGTGATCCCAACGTTAAAACGACCTTGTGTCACATTCAACCATGGTGGGAAGGCCGGGTAAATCTCTCTCTCTCGCTCTCTCTCTCTCTCTCTCTCTCTCTCTCTCTATATATATATATATATATATATATATATATATATTATAATTAACCGATTTAAAATATGTTTTTTTTCGCTACACAGAAATGACCATGTTTCAAAAAGGGAAGCTAAACTTC